TGCCTTCAGTTTCGATGAATGGACATTGGACATGCAGAGTTACGTCACAAAAGGTAGTCAGTTTCACCCTATTAAAAAACATTTGGGCCTGTTTTTATCGGTTGGGACGGGCTGCTTACCTATTATATGCCGCTAAGAAAATGCTTTAGGTTTTGAACTAAAGGATCATTCTCCGTGACACTTGCATAATTGTTTTTTTTTCCAATAACCAGCTTGAGAAAATCAAATGAATCTCAAAACCTTAACTGTTTCGAACTGCTATTTAGCCATCATGGCTATACTTTTTTCACGTCACAACGACGAACATCCTTCATAAAATACTGAATCATTAATAAAATAATTCCTCTTATTTCTCCGTTTCCACGTCATGCGAGGTCTACTCGATGTACATACGTACTTGTCGGCACCCGGTGCGCTCTCCAATCATCCAATCCAGAGGTTATCGTGCTCGAGCACATGTGAACACAAAAGGTCATCGATGGTGACCCCCGGCCTCCTTTGTGGACCGCCGGGTCGTCCCTGTCGTTCTGAGGGGCATCGTCTAATTTATCGACTGCCGCTACAAGGTATAAATCCGGCACAGGTGTGACGATTTTAGAGTAGAACTGGGAGTCGTTAGGAAAGACCGTCGAGGTTAATTGCTGAGATACAAGTGCATATTTGATTAGATACCTAGCTTAACTATTTTTTCAATTCTGGAACTATTCTTTTCTTAACGATTTCAATAGACGGCATTTAATGATTGATTTAACCTCCCACCTCCGTTCCTCTCCATCCTTTTGGTTATGCTATGGTTATGCGTACAAGATACGCATTGGAATAGTCATTGGGGCAAAAACGCATTGACGTTATCTGAATCTGAACGCAAGCCTGTGTTCTATATATGCATGAAGGGTTCACTTGTTGCGATAGGAGCTACAGGAGTTGCCATTGACTTTTATTCGCCCTATCACAAGAACTGCAGCATTTATTCGTTCCCAAACCTCCCAATTTCTGATACCACTGATCACAATAATTCTTCGTGTCTAATTAATGGGTCATGGGGTCTACGCTGACAAGGTCTCGCCGCCCGAACACCCAGAAAGGCCCGTCCCTCACCCGCGGGGCTTCCAGTCTCGGGGGCGGTTCTGAGAGCCTGACAATAATATTCGGGTCGTACGGGATGAGCTGACGCTACAATAGCGGTGCTTAGATCACTTGTCAGGTAAGCTTCGAAACAGGGATCAAATTAGCTGGCGAGCTTTATGCAGCAATCAAGGTATGACTATGATTTGTTTGGCGCATTGTTAACCTGTCGTGGGTCATATTGATGACATCTGACGTCACTGTTTCCCCAACGGAAACCTTCTGCCGGATATTATATTGTTCCTGGAAATTTAGGGCGTCGACATTAATCCATTTCATTATAAGACGTGACAGCAAGACGGCTGTTCTACATGCTGCTGTTCGACCTTCTACTTGGCAGCTGATTAGCTATTAGCTGCCTGACGTCAAAGCTGGCCACCGTGATGCCCGAGAGCTAGCTGCTGCGGATGAACTGTCATACTAAAGCTACGGAAGCACTGCTAAAATGTCTTCTTTTTGGCATTGGCCATCTCATCTGTATTTTGTCATGCGTTTGCCGTTCTCACAATCACGCATCACGCCGTGAGCAGTCAGTATTTTTTTTCCACCTCCGTTCCTCTCCAATCCTTTTCACACACCCAGTCTCCGCTGCTCCACTCCACGGCACGTTCTGCGCCCAGCACGCCGTGGGGAGGGCGACCATCACCTGATTGGCTGGGACAGCTGCCGCGCCGGGGCACAGCTACGCTGACGGGGCGTGGCGCCTCAGGCAATCGGCCGACCTGAGACGACCGTCCGATGGGCCCTAAATCACCGCCGGCGCCTCGCGGGATGCGTGCTGCGCCCCGGGGCCGCCGGCCGGCCGGACGGCAGGGGCAGATGACACAGAGTTGACGCGTGGCCGCCGCGACAGCCTGAGGCTGCAGGCACGAGATGGAATTCGAGATGGACTGGGGCTGGAGGAAATGGAGGAGGTCTGTTTGGGCTGGGGTGCTCATTAGTAAGCTAGTTATGCAGACTACAAATTATAATTACGTGGTGAGACAACAATTGTCCTCAGTGTCGTGCTTCGTTGCTTGTGGTGCGCCACCCAAAAATTACTAGATGAAAACTGTCTCACGTATTGTGAAAATAGCGTCCTATAATAATGGCAAACCTTTCTGAAGATGTCTGTTACATTTTGCTGTCAATAAAACATCTTGCATCACCGTAGCCGCCTGTGTATGTAATGCCTGTTTTCACTTTTATGACCGTGCTCTTACTGGGTTAGTGGTTAGGCGTAAGCAAATACGGAGCCGAACGCTAATGAAGCTGGCCACCGGCACCGGGCAGGGGAGGAGAACATGTTCACGACGGTCTGAGGACGCCAGTCGCACCCGCCGTGGCCGTCCTGACCACGGACACGGCCCAATTAATGAACCGGCCGTGCCACGACCACCCTCCAAGCTCGCTGTGGGCGAAAGGAAAAGGTACACCGTTCCCTCAGTGCCCTGTACGAGTACAGGGCACTGCTCGTATGTTCGCCGGTCCTAGGACCGGTCATGGCCGCGATTTTTGTTCGGTTAGGACGGTGCTACGTGCGAAGTATCAAGTAACAAACAGCAGTTTGTGCCATCGAGAACGCCCGAGAAACGAAGATGACGATTTGCGGATGTCATTTTCGAAGTGTTTTTCGGTAGAGTAGGTATTGATTCAGTTAGTTCGACGCTGTTATTGAAGACGGCCATCAGCGAAAAAGTGGGCGTATCTTTTTAATGATCAAAAAATCTTTCGGTGATTAACCCTCGCCCGTAAACGGCGATCTGCCACCTTCGCCCATGCAGGGGGGGGGGGGGGGTTGGTGCGACCCCCCCTTGGCGTTTGAAAACGGAGCGTCGTAGAGCTTAGCGGTAAAGACCAACGAATTGCTCTCGCCGAGATCTCGCGATTGGTGGTATATTTTTTGGTCCTAGGTCAACATTTGACCTACTTTTGACCGGTCAAAGGTCAAATTTTCGGAAAAATAGACTTTTTCAACTTTCCGCGGCGATTGCGGCAAAAACGGTGGGAGATATCGACTTGAAAACTTCACTATCGTGTTCCTTGACCAATTCTCTATCGTTTGGTATGTATTTCGTTTCCCTAGCTCTAAAAATGGCGCGTTGGGACCGCCGGAAGTCGGCAAGGTCACAGTCGGCGGAAGAAATTCGAAAAATCAAAAATTAAATTTTTGAAATCTGATTGTATTTTTGGATTTGGGAGGTCTATTTGCTCCCTATAGAAGCTAATATTGCTGCATATTCTCATTGAGGTGACAAGAATTAGCAAAATAGTGGTTCGGGCGCTTTTCAAAAATAGTACCGGACGCTGTTCCTCTTGTGACGTCATAGCTCCGTGACCTGACCTGACCCGGTCAAGTTTCTTATACCATATGATAGCCAATACTTGCCCCAACATGCATGGGAAGTTTCATCACGATCCATCAACCGATGTCCGTACTACCGGCAGGAAACCTCGGGCGTTGGCACTCAGTATGTGAAAATCCGGCTGGAGGCTGTTCCCTTTGTGACGTCATAACTCCGTGACCTGACATGACCCGGTCAAACTTTTTTTATCAAAAGATGCGCAAGGTTTGCCCCATAAGGTACCCAAAATTTGGCGGCGCTGCGCGCCGCCGTTTTTGCACTATTTCCGAAAAACCTCACGGGGGGGGGTTGCACCAACCCCCCCCTACATGGGCGAGGGTTAAAAGTAAGTTTTACTTACCTTGTCTAAAAAAATATGTTCCCGTTGATAACATACAACACACAAGCAGGAATTCCATGCACGTTCACGCTGGGCCAAATAATTACCTACACGCATTGTAACTCTTTGATACGCAATGCATTGTCAATATGCAACGATGCATGATGGACACCGTCTGCTAAAATATCGCTCTTATTGGAGATTTTTGGATCACGATTACATGCTGGAGTGCTGATTGGAAACTATTGTAAAAATTGTTTTTGGTTGTCAAATGAATGCGTCTTTTTAATTAAATGCCTTTACCTGTATGGAATTGCCTCTATGTGCTAAATACTTATATATAACATGGCTTTCAGCTGGAGTAGCGCGCTGGATTGGTTATCACGAAGAAAATGAAATTAAAATATGGTAACAATTTCTAACGACGTATAGAATATGGAAATATAAAATAACGATGACAATAACTACGATGTGACATTTACCTCCGGCTACACTGATAACCAGCAATCTTTAACTTGATCGTACAATGCCGGCAATGTGTCTCGCTCGCGGCCATGGCTTTTTCTCGGGATTAGGGAGCCGATGCTGTTTGGCTGAGCTGCCGAGAGGCACGTGTCGCAAAGCGTGGCCGACTGGTGGACGACTCCTCACTCCAAATCGGTATTTTATGGATCGCAGTTCGTGGGGAAAGATCTAATAAATCCAATGAGTTTATGTGTCAGGTTTTTTGGTAAGTGGGTTCATTTATCGGGCGGAATTATCAGATAAGTGACATGAACATTTGACGAGGTCTACAGTTCCTCTTACTGGGATTCATATACGCTTTATATTAAATAAATTCAGCATTTTTATAGCGTTCACCAAGCACGGTGAGCATTAGGTACCAGCTCAAACTGACACAGTATTCACTCTAATGTTTCATGTTTTATTTGTTAATTTGCTATTCGATGTTCTGCATTTTCAATTTTGTACCTTACCGGTGTTTCTTTTTTTTTGTGGATTGCAGCTGTAATATAATTTGTAGGTACTATATTTGCGCGCACTATATTTGTTTTAGATACAATACAAATGTACGGACCAAATAAACTTTGCCCATGAACGCTAAATCACACCATCTCTCATTTCCAGGAACTCGTCCCTCTCCCTCTACCTACATCTCGGGAACAATTCCAGGCCGCCCTCCCCTCTCCGACCCCGCGGCTGCCGGCACCGCCCCCCCAGTTCACAGTTCATCCCAGGCCACCTCTGTTGACGACCTCGGTGACCTTGAGATCAGGCGAGATCACGTGATTGGACCACCGTGAGATCACGTGACGGGCGTCGCGTGGCTCCAGCGAGGGGCGCGTGGCTCTCCCCACTGCAGGTCTGTTCGGAGCGGACGGGCCCACGCGGAGGGGTCGGAGGAAGAGGAGGCGGAGGGGAGAGAGCACCGGCGGTCAGAGAGGCAGAGCACCATGGCAGGGAACGCCGAGAGCGGTAAGTTTTGTTAGCTTGGTGAAAAAATGTATTTCTTAAGCCGAGCATGTTAATTAGAGCTAACGTCCTGCTCCAAGTCATAAACAGCGAAACGAGAAAATGTCATCATGCTTTTCTTCCAGACTTTGCAACAATGTGTGCAAATGGGTGCTTCTAAGACGAGCTACGTCAGTGTCCCCTTATATCTAATCTAATTGTTTGGTTACCTACGTGCTCCGGTGTTTTAAATGCCACTGGCTTGGATTTTATATACAGGGACTTGCTCGGGAATTTGACCACTATTTCACTGTGTAGTGTGCATTGTGTATTGTATAAAGGCCTGATATGCTGATCCCATGGATTATTATCGCTTCCTTAAGACAGTCGCGTATATGAAGATAATCCTTTTCCAGGCCTACGCTTGCCGGTATCTGTATTGTCCTTAGGTCATTAGGTGTTGTTTTTGTTTTTATCCGCTGGGACTGAGAGCGTGAGATGATGTTTTTCGTACTCCAGCGTAGATGGGTAGCCATACGGGTTCCACGGTTGACAGTGATGGCATCAGTCATCTTTTGCAAGCTCGTTAAAGATTCCCGTACAGCCCAAATCTTTAACGAGCTTGCAAAAGATGACTGATGCCATCACTGTCAACCGTGGAAGCCGTATGGCTACCCATCTACGCTGGAGTACGAAAAACATCATCTCACATATCTGTATTGTCGTTCAACAGTAGCGGCGGAACACCTTCAATTAAGGGGGGGGGGGGGCACTGACGACTTTTGGTCCCATTCTTTCCATACAACGCCCATTGGGCTAATGTTAAAATGCCAAAATCAAATGGGGGCACGGTGCCTCGGTACCCTCCCCGTTCCGCCGCCTATGTCTGTCACAGGGGTAATTTGTATCCCTCATCTTTGTTCTGTGCCGAGCTCTCTCTCTCTCTCTCTCTCTCTCTCTCTCTCTCTCTCTCTCTCTCTCTCTCTCTCTCTCTCTCTCTCTCTCTCTCTCTCTCTCTCTCTCTCTCTCTCTCTCTCTCTCTATCTCTCTCTCTCTATCTCTCTCTTTCTCTCTCTCTTTCTCTCTCTCTCTCTCTCTCTCTCTCTCTCTCTCTCTCTCTCTCTCTCTCTCTCTCTCTTTCTCTCTTTGTCTCTCTCCCTCTTGCGCACTTTTTTTCTCTCTCCGGTCTCCACGCAAAAATAATCCTTATATCAGTTATATATATACAGGGTGATCCAAAAAATTTGGAACCCCTAACTTAAAATGTCTATAAGTCCAAAAGTATTCACATTGTTGACAAATTGCGAATACCATTAGAAAGAGCATTAAATTCTCTATAACATCACGTCAAATTGGTGCATGTATGTTGTAAAGCATTGGCACACTATTAGTTTTTGGAATGAGCGTCAGAAAACTGAGTGAAACGAAATCGCCAAATGTTAACAATGCGCTGAAATCCGTTAGCACTCTATCTGTTGTCTTTTTGCGAATAACACCACATCCAAATGCAATTTTATTACATAAAAGTTTACACAGAAGCACACAGTACAACAGATACCTACACGCGTCCTAGCTTCCGCTGTTCATCTCAGCATGTGCTCAACGCGAGCTCCGTGGGCCGTCACGCAGGCCTGCAGTTGCTTGGGGACAGCTCCGACTGCGCGGGCCAGCAGTCTCTGGGACAACTGGTCCCAGCAGGCCGTCAGCCTTTCCTTTTCTTACAATAGCACGTGAATGAGCTATTTTTATTTATGAACCTCCAACAAGCGACATGTTCAGAACAGGAAACCGTCAATCACTGATTTGCGCATGATGTTCAAAACCGTTTCACTGAGTTTCGTGACACAAATTTTATAGGCATATGTCTAGGGCAATAGTTAGAGTAATAATTAACATCAATCAACTTGGTTTTATAGAAAATTGAATGTTCTTTCTAATGGTGTTTGCAATTTGTCAATTAAGTGAAAATTTTCTGACTTACAGACATTTTAAGTTAGGGGTTCCAATTTTTTTGGATCACCCTGTATGTCGTAGGCATCGGGTGAAATCTGGCATTTCATGAAATGTCTAGGCATTACATGGAATGCCGGCAAAAACTGAAATCTTCGTAGAAATACGGACGTTACAGCGAATGCCTGAAAATTTTAAGCTTTTCATGAAGTGCCAGGCGGAGGCCAGGCACTCCCTGAAATATGGTCAAAACCAATTGAGTACACTCGTCGCCTAGGCATTACATGAAATGCCCGACTGACGGCCGGCACTTTCTGAAACGATTACCGCAGCTATGAGGTTTCCCGCGCTTGGCCTGAGAGAGGCGTTCCGAGAGCAGTCACTTTTTGGAGGGCAAGGGATGAAGCAGTGTGCATGCCGGGCCAGCGCCAAACAGTGCAACACCAAGAGGTGCAAGTGCCGTAAGGCTGGAATGATGTGTACGTGTCGGTGCCACGCGGCGCTCCGATGTGTCAACAAATAATAAAACAGTTCTGGAACCTTTTGTTTGAAAATGCGGTCTCTATAGGAGAGTTTCCAGACGATATTTTGTGAATTTTATTATTTTACTTTGCCAGCTTGGCTTCACGCGTGAAGTGTCTGCTGAGCAGGTCGTTTGTCTAGGAGTATGAAAGTTTTATTTTTTTTAGCCCAACTTCTAAAGCATTCGTCCCTTTCAGATGTAAACGTTACCAACTACAAAGAATTTGCTTTGTCTTGGAACAGGTATATTACATTACAGGCTATAAAAGACATGAGATTAGATTCGAGTAAAGCAATAGCACAGTTACCAGGCAATAGGCAGACAGGCGCAATGTTACCCGCTACACGCACAGTGAAGAAAACACTGCCGCGCCACTCGGGCACAAACAGGTCCTGACTGGACCGGCGACCCACCGGTACTCACATCACTGCGTGGCGAGGCCGCGGAGGAGCACCGCTCCGTCCGTGACGGGGCGGACGAGTGCCAGCGAAGGCGAACAAGAGAGAGCCAGAAGCGAGCCAGTAGAGCGAGCCCCGAGCCTACGCCACGCGCGCGTATTTATACCGTCACACGCAGTGTGACGTCACAACCCGCGTACTTTCACGCAATCCGAGTATAACAATCCGCAATCACAGTATAACATATAGAAATAATACACATACACGCACGTTACAGGCATGGCCGTGAGAATCCGTCCTTATTCGCGAATGACGACACCACCAGCGAAACAAGCGCTAACTCACAAACTCACAAGATGTCAGATTTTCATATAACTAGAATACCAGATAGGATATAAAGTCACACACTTTTTGTCAACAGTTAATATCATTACAATAAACAATGCGACCCGGTACCTCATCGTTGTTTATTGTACCAGAAGGCCCGTATTGTTTCTCGTAATGTTACATTGCCAATTTTTTAAACGTACCTAATGCAACCGACGTCCGACAAACAATGAAACTAGCATTATGTTTTCTGCTTTCATGGAAAACCCGTGAAACCACGTAAAATAGTGAACATTCCGTGACACAGTCAGTTTTGTCTCTAAGGTATCTTATCTTATATGTGCAATAGACCATGCAACCCGTATCAAATTGGGCGACATACATCAGCTTAGAACGTGGCATATCGAACGCTGTAAAGTACAATAAATCATGCAGTCCGTGAGGGTCGGTCCTGCAATAAGTTATTACGCACGTATTTACCGTAATACGTCGTAATCTATTTCACACAAGGAATAATGCGATCGATCCGTATTCCAGGTCTGCTCCTATTTATTCGTTGTTAGCTATACAGAGCTACAGGAGAAAAAGCCTGTTCCAATCCATCGCAGGGCTAATTACATAAATATAAAAACTACATGTTCTAAACGTCGGAGAAACGCGTACTTCACGTGGCACGGATGTGCGGCGTGAAAGTCGTGACCTCGCGCGCCCGCCCGGTCTCGCCAGCGCGCCCGGCCCCAGGGTCGGGCTAAAGCCATCTCCTCGCGCTCCGTCCCGGGTTCACCGTCACGTCCCGAGGGGTCGGGCGAAGGTCGGTCAGTGGCCAGTGCGTAGGTTGCGACACCGTGCCGCCTCGCCGGTGCGTGTGGGCGGTACGGTCTCACCACGGCACCGGCCGCGGTCCACGCCGCCGCTGCGTGGTGTTGCAGCGAGCCTTGCGCCACCAGAGGCAGTGATGCAGGTCACATCCACCGCGATCGTGGCACGGTCACCGAAGGTGGCGGCGCCGGTCGCGCCCACCGCGACCGTGATTTTCTCACAATTTTGTTTTTTACTGCCCATGGACCAACACAGCAAACCCCACACTTCAGGGAAACCCGATAACTGCACAGTGTAATATTTGTGTACCAGCTAACCATAAAGTAGGTACGCTGCAGACGAGACGATCCGTGAAATATCTCGTAATGTTAGCCCATTTTACACCAATACGATAACGTCCCTCCCCCTCCCGCCCGCCGGCGTGTAGGTATATGCACACAACCGTCCGCGTACGAAAAGTTTTGTTACAGAGGGTGCCGGTTGTCTTTTGGGCAATCCATGTAATGCCTGGGCAACGAGTGTACTCAGTTAATTTTGACCATATTTCAGGGAGTGCCTGGCCTCCGCCTGGCACTTCATGAAATGCCTAAAATTTTCAGGCATTCGCTGTAACGCGCCTATTTCTACGAATATTTCAGTTTTTGCCGGCATTCCATGTAATGCCTAGGCATTTCATGAAATGCCGGATTTCATCCAATGCCTACGACATATATAACTGATATTATATCACGAATATAAATTATATCACGAAGACTCACCGTATAACTATTGTCCGCATGTCACCGTTTCCGTGTTTCTCTAACCGCCCACCCACTATTTCAGAGCTGCGCCTGGGCGAGACACTGGCTGAGGGGAAGACCAAGGTGATTCGTGCAGCTACCGACCACCCTGGTCAGGTGTACCTGGTGGCCAAGGACGCCATCACGGCCCACAACGGCGTCAGGAAGGGTCAGATGGAGGGCAAGGGCGTCATCGCCTCGGCGACCTGCGCCGCCGTCTTCAGATACCTGGAGACAGTCGGTGGGTTCAAAATAGAATGTACTGGGTAATGGGTAGGTCAGAAAGTAATGGGGTGCCAACGGAAAAGGCGCATATGCCGAAGAGTGTAAGGCACTGTGATGTAAGTTCCGTCCTTTGGTGCAAAGGAAATCATGTTTGACGTTTGAAACGAGTACAAATTTTATTTATTTCATATTTTCAGCACATGTGCGTGGTTTTGTTCTGCTTGTTAATGGTTCGAACTGACATTTTCTAGAAACTTATCCGTTTTGAAGCTTTGGCGTCAGTGATAAGCATAAAGTATACATATCTTAAGAACCCATGCTATCAAATATAGACGTAGGATAGGCGGCATAATTGGTCGATTTCCGGGTACCAGCTGTCTACAATACAACAGAGACAGGCTGTAACTGACGGAAACTCATCCAGACATGTCGCAGCGTCGCCTGGACATTCTGACGAACAATAAACACAAGATGAAACAGAACGCGGTAGAAGACAAATATAGCCCAACTTCACACAACCAGGCACATAGACCGTATAAACAATGACAGCATTCCTATGGTGCCTGTTACTAAGTCAGTCTTAAAATATACTTTTTAAAGTGACTTATCGGTCTACTTTCCAAACGTGACATACAACATCAAGAGCGTGGCTAACCACCGCACTGGAGAGTGTGTTACTTGCCTATCGTTTAAAGAAATTGCATGGGTTAAGCGCTCAAGTTAAAATATAGGCTGCCAACCAGAGATAAAGGAGACAAATGCTAACTGATCAGCCCAAGAAACTGCGTCGAATGGTTGCGGAGATATACTAGCCTGGGAAGCGCACTAGCCGTTCGGGTTAGGCCTCCATACTGTAATTCTGAAACTGCGTACGACCTCTCACTCTCTGCGGCCCTTGCTCGTTAACCACTATTGACCTCACTCTAATCCCAACCAGTCAATCGATTCCTCAAACAGTGATTAACATCGGACTGCATCACCGGCATACCGGCAGGCATTCGGACGGCGTTTGTGGAGCAGGCCTCCGATAACGCACTGCTGTGCCGCGGCTGCGACATGGTGCCCATCGAATGGGTCACCCGGCGCGTCGCCACCGGATCCTTCCTGAAGCGTAACCCGGGCGTCAAGGAGGGCTACCGCTTCACGCCGCCCAAACAGGAGCTCTTCTTCAAGGTCAGCTAGCCGAGTCGCACAGGCAGATTTCACACAGAAACAGCTACTAACGTGTCTCGGCTTTCATGGGTAGCTGATATAAAGGTTGAGGAGGTTATGCAGTTATAATAAGGGAGTACTCGCAACTTATCCTAACTTCATTTCTAAATCTCACGATCTAGCTGAGCACAACAGCTAAGCCAGGGGCCGTCCCCCCCCCCGTTGCGGCAGTTCCGTAACCTCCCGCGACCCGTGCGGGCAGGATGACGCTCAGGGCGACCCTCAGTGGAGCGAGGAACAGGTGCTGGCCGCCGAGTTCACGTGCGCCGGCGTTCGGATCGGTCCCGACGAGCTGCGTCTGATGCACAAGACCACTCTGGCCGTGTTTACCGTGCTGGAGAAACTCTGGGCTAGCCTCGGTGTTGCGCTCATCGACATGAAGATCGAATTCGGCGTCGACAAAGAGTCAGGTAAGCGTCCCTTGAAGGCTATGTGAGGAGAACTAAGGGATCAAGATGCTCAAACCTATCATACTGCATCCTATCTCTCCTATATAATAGAGTCACCCTACACTTGCTGTAAAGCATCAGAGTATCCGAAGACTGATTGGGTTGTTCTTGCGACCCTGTGATGTATTGTTTCAGTGTTTATGACTTGATTATCTGTGGAACGATTACGAGGCCGGGCTACCCGAAATCGTCAAATTATGGTAGCTAAGCCGTCTGCTATCGGCCCGTAGTGGTGTGAATAGGAAATCTGATTAGATCCAGGCTGTGCCGAGCAGTGCCGAGTCTGCCGTGTTATTTGTAATCTGCATGTGATGAGTAGGATAAAGTTGTGTGGAATGGGATCCGATATTGATGAAGATTGAAGATTCGAATCTTAGCGGTACTTTTATAACGATGGACGATTTGATGGTTCATACATCATATTCACACCTACTACCTAATGTGATTGTTCACTGCATTGATTAATAATTTTATAATTATTTCTAAGCTGACGCTAATAAAAGTTTTAACTTCAAAGTAAAATTTTCGAAAAAGCGATGATTCATAATGTAAGATGTAAACATTTTTTTTTACAACGAATTTCCAAACAGCGTTACGCAACTACACTTGCAGCAGTTTTCGACCTAGCTCCCGTTACCCTGTCTCAGTCCCCGTCCCGTCTTGTCTCAGCTTCCATTCCAGTTCCCGTCTTATATTGTCTCAGCTTCCGTCTTAACACTCCCGTCTCAGTCCCCGTCTCAGTTTCCGATCTCTGGAAATTCTGCGCTTGGACCGTTCGTCCAACTGTCTGCACATTCCGCGAACAGTGTCATACCTCCTCCAAGTGAATCGGGGCGGTGGTGGCCGGCGCGGCCACCGTCCGTCCTTTGATGGCGCGTGCGTCTAATTGGCCGCTGTCTGCGGCCGCTCGCTGCAGGTGACATCCTGGTGGCTGACGTCATCGATAATGACTCGTGGCGCCTGTGGCCGGCCGGTGACAAGCGACTGATGAAGGACAAACAGGTAACGGAGACGAGTGCCGACCGGACGCGGGGAGCGGGCAGTGTCCACGGTAGCGAGAAACAGAACTACTGGAAGATCACATATCTGTATGCCCGAGTTATAAGTGATCAGTTACGTGTATTTTTGTCAAACCCGCTCCGAAAACCACTTAAACGTCAACTGAAGTTGGATCGACTCCATAGTCCATAATTTGTTTTCAAATGAAGATATGCCGACTTTTGCGACCCGGTTAATTTTGCGTACCATATTTCGTGTAGATCCCTTCATTACTTTATGCTGCGTTTTCAATCGCCAAGATGATAGTATTCACTCTTCGCAGCTCTCAGTGCTGGCTATACCATGAAGTCACATAAGTGTATACCTATTCTCAGACGTTCCGTGACGCCGAGACCGTGACGCCCGAGGTGATGCTGGACCTGAAGAAAAACTACCAGTGGGTGGCCGACCAGCTGGCCTCCTTCAACGCCAACCGACACCATCTGGTAAGCGATGTCGTCTTATTTGCGCGTCAAACACGACATGCAGTGTATCAAACGTGTAGGCATAGTGCATGCCACATGGCTATGCATTGTGTTGGACGTAGCCAATAACCACACAGCCATGATTTATTGACAATAAGGACTCGCTGACGGTCCAGCCAGGGATGAGAGGGCAGGCCGGGAGGGCAAACGACCAAATTGACATTTGAATGTCCAATTTTACAGATGCATATGAAAACGTAATGGCAATAGTCCGGTGGCATAATAGGGTCCATTCCCCCTTATCTGCGACCGCCAGTGTGAGCGTGGATACCTACCTATACGTAATATATGACTCACGTAATTGATGCATGGCCTTGTGGTGTATGAAGCTGTGTATCACTTTGCAAGACACGTCATACAATCAGATAGAATGATATGCAGAAGCTCCGCGCCTATATGTCTTCCTCATACACGCCTACCAGGCCGGCGGCCCTGCAATAATGTAACATTTGCTATAACATGCAGTCTTAACCCTCGCCCGTAAACGGCGATCTGCCACCTTCGCCCATGCAGGGGGGGTGGGTTGGTGCGACCCCCCCTTGGCGTTTGAAAACGGAGCGTCGTAGAGCTTAGCGGAAAAGACCAACGGATTGCTCTCGCCGAGATCTCGCGATTGGTGGTATATTTTTTGGTCCTAGGTCAATATTTGACCTACTTTTGACCGGTCAAAGGTCAAATTTTCGGAAAATAGACTTTTTTCAACTTTAAGCGGCGATTGCGGCAAAACGGTGGGAGATATCGACTTGAAACCTTCACTATCGTGTTCCTTGATCAATTCTCTATCGTTTGGTATGTATTTCGTTTCCCTAGCTCTAAAAATGGCGCGTTGGGAGCGCCGGAAGTTGGCAAGGTCACAGTCGGCGGCAGAAATTCGAAAAATCAAAATTTAAATTTTTGAAATCTGATTGTATTTTTGGATTTCGGAGGTCCATTTGCTACCTATAGAAGCTAATATTGCTGCATATTCCCATTGAGGTGACAAGAATTAGCAAAATAGTGGTTCGGGCGCTTTTCAAAAATAGTACCGGACGCTGTTCCTCTTGTGACGTCATAGCTCCGTGACCTGACCTGACCCGGTCAAGTTTCTTATACCATATGATAGCCAATACTTGCCCCAACATGCATGGGAAGTTTCATCACGATCCATCAACCGATGTCCGTACCACCGGCAGGAAACCTCGGGCGTTGGCACTCAGTTTGTGAAAATCCGGCCGGAGGCTGTTCCCTTTGTGACGTCATAACTCCGTGACCTGACATGACCAGGTCAAATTTTTTTTTATCAAAAGATGCGCAAGGTTTGCCCCATAAGGTACCCAAAATTTGGCGGCGCTGCGCGCCGCCGTTTTTGCACTATTTCCGAAAAGCCTCAGGGGGGGGGGGGGGGGTTGCACCAACCCCCCCTACATGGGCGAGGGTTAAGCTCAGTGCTATCGATGAATTGTGGCTACCTTCATCAGCTAGCTCGCGGTCATTCTATTAACTTGGCCCACTTGGCCGTATGTCATAGCATCAGCACTGCAGTCACTTTCAGTTCTTCTCATATCAAAATTACGTAAAAATCTGACTAAGCAATATAGTAAATCTAATGCGTGTTCCCTTCACATTTCACTCTCCAAAGCTGCTCCTCATGCAGTATTAACCTCAGCTGTGATTCTGGTCCCAATTTAACCGCGTTTCCATTTGCAGGCTGTCATCATCATGGGCTCTCCGTCTGACGCGGAGCACTGCGCCAAGATCCGCCGCCACCTGACCGACCTCGGCATCTCGACTGATGTGCGCGTCTCATCGGCACACAAAACCACGGAGGAGACACTGCGCATCGTCGCCGAGTATGAAGGTGAGAGGGGAGAGGGAGGGAGGGAGAGAGAGAGAGAGAGAGAGAGAGAGAGAGAGAGAGAGAGAGAGAGAGAGAGAGAGAGAGAGAGAGAGAGAGAGAGAGAGAGAGAGAGAGAGAGAGAGAGAGAGAGAGAGAGAGAGAGAGAGAGAGAGAGAGGTGGTGAGTGCACGGTTACCGACTGGGCTACCGTGACCGTCACGCCATGTGTCGTGGTCGGTCGCTGTGAGGATATGGTCCCTTTGAAGCGGCTGATCGTCGCAGTTTGTCCGGGGAGCCTCTGAAGGGTGTGATTGCTGGTCATCAGTTAACCAGGATAAATCCAGCGTTTCGTGATCGTAGGTGCGTGAGCCAGACAAGTGTTGTGTTTAATGTGCATATTGACGATAGATCTAAATATGGCCTCTTTATCAAGATCAGACTCAAAGGCTTGGGACCAGAGTACAGGAATAGACGGCCCATTTTCGTCTGCATTAACTTCAACGCATGCTGTAGGCAACCACAGATGAAACGGTCATATCAAAAGTCATGCTTGCCAAAACTGTGATGATTGTCAAAACGGTCATGAGCTCTGTCCAGCGCTGTCCAGCAGAGGTTTTGGCGTTTTAACTTTTCAGTATATGTACAAGGCTTAGCTTTGTTCGTCACGCCGTCTCTTTGAGCACTGAGCATGTCAGCTTCTCCGTGAGTTCTTCTGACGCTCTCCGTCTGCGCCCGTCAGGCGGCCCGGACCCGGTGGTGTTTATTGCCGTGGCCGGCCGCAGTAACGGCCTGGGCCCGGTGCTCTCCGGTAACACGGCCTTCCCGGTCATCAACTGCCCGCCGGCGCCGGTCGTCGACGCCGACGTCTTCTCGTCGCTGCGCACGCCGTCGGGCCTGGGCTGCAGCACGGTGCTGTACCCGGAGGCGGCGGCGCTGGCCGCCGCGGCCGTGTTCGGGATGCACGACCCGACCTTGTGGTCGCGGCTGGCCGTGCGCCGGCTCACCAGCTGGTGTAAACTGAACGCGGCAGATGTCGGCCAGCGGACCGCCACCGGCCGACTGTGAGTGAGCGCAGGGAGCTGACCGCAATCACCGGTCACCGAGACAACAGGTCACAGCTCACCGAGACCACGAGTCACCAGGTCACCGGGTCACCTGGCGACTGAGGCATCAGGTCGCCGGGTGGGTTAGTTACCAGCCGTCGAGTGAATGCAATTATCGTCTCATGCCGTGGAATTTGATGTCAATGCTCGGCAGTGCAGCCGTCGGCATGGAGATTGGCGGAATTTGTTACAAAACTATTCTTCTGGCTTCGGTTGGAATTGTCGTTGTGTCAACGTTGGCCGACATCCGATTTTGTGGCGTAGACGAAAATCACATGAAGAAAAGACTCATTCGCTCGCTCGTTCCGTTGCTCTTTTCCTTGATCAACTCGTTCTTCTTTAGGAAGACTATCTGAGTGAAGATTCTTTTGAACCATGACTGCCTACTGTGACATTATTTGTTCGTTGACTGATGGCATTGTAATGCGATGAATTTACTACATTATTTACCATGATTTAGTAACTACACTGATACAAACCTTTTCGCCCTGCCACCTTATGCCTACCCCATGTTTAGGTGGTTGATTACTGAATGCTTTTTTTCTCTACTAAATACAACTCGTCAAAATACAGGACTCTACACTGTGTAAAAATGTTTCATTATTTATCTCCGCAATCCTTTAAGCTTTGCGTGCTTCAATAATACAATAAAACAAAACATTTTACACTGCCCCAACAAATCGAACAGATCTAAATTGGGATGGAAAGTACTGCTATCTGGTAACCTTCGTTTCAAGCTCGAGCACATGCGTTAAGTGTAATTTCGTTTAAGCCTGCTGATGGAACTTCATGATCCCATTTATAGGTATAGCGCTTGGAAATAAGATTTCTAAGGCAAAATTAATATTTCTCTCGAAGGCATTGTACATACAAAATATAGCATAATCAGTGGCGCAGCCAGGATTTCGTTTCGGGGGGGTCATCGCTTCCAAAGCGGGCCCCCTAGTGTGCGGGCCCCCACCCATTTTTCAGAATCTCTCCATATTTCATACGCATTCTGCTGGGCGGGCCCACTTTACCTACCTGCACGATAACCCTGAGGTAGTTTGAATCAGAAAATTTGCATAGAACAGTAGCTCGATAGTCACCTGGTCTTCACTTTTTACGCAAATTGACCACGACAGAAATATGTTACTATGACGGATGACTTCGTATCTTTCGAGTCCGAAATGAGCCCCAATTCCGCAATATGCATAGCATATTAACAACAATCGGATATGCATAGCATATCCGATTGCATAGTTAATAGTTATATGCAATCGGAACTGTTGCTTGCTTCTGTCGCACAAGATTTAAAAGTAGTCCCATGTGCCTGTCCTAAGTCATAGATATTGGCTGCTGTAGTAGATTGTGCCTTTATTCTTCTTCATTACGTGAATTCGCTCGTAAGAAGCTTTAACCCTCGCCGGCACAGGGGGAGGGGTTGATGCAACCCCCTAAGGTTTTTTTTTTCGCGAAGAACTCGCGTAAAAAAGCGGCTGATCGCGACGTAACTTCCATAGTGCGCTGAAATTCGCGCAACTTATAGAACAAGGATGGGTAACGTGCCTGTGAAGGGTCACAGCTCGATCGGGCCGGTGGTGAGCACATGGCGCGTGCTCAAAAAGTGCAAATTCGCGTCATAGACTTTACATGCATAAATCGGCTTGCAAAATTGGGCGACAATGGCTCAACTTGCCCGACACGGGTCCGATCCCCGTGCAGTATCTCGGTAACCGTGGGTCCGATCGGCACGAGGAACACAGTATCGTGCATGAGAATCGAACGGGCTATTGTATGGTGTGCGGTGCAGGGATGGCACGCGCCACGTGCACCCGTGAGGGCACTTATGCTTGAAAAATTGACGTTTTGGACGGATTTTGGACTTAATGCTATTTTTGGGTGACTGTCAGACGGAGCGGGTTCAAACAACGCTTGTTGGCAAGAGAAATGTACCACTACCTACCGCCTCTCATGGGAAAATTGTGAAAAGCTAATTGATCAAAAACAAGGTGGAACAAATTGCTGGAGAAAATAGCATTTGCTTATGACTTACTTAATTACAGGGGTTTTGCTACATAACCTGGTATGTTTGACAATTGAAATGGGCATAGATTGGAAGAGCATTCAAATGTGACCAAGGTCCAATCATCGCTTTTGCATGACGAGCAACAATGTTCTTAAGAATATAAATGTTTCAAACCTCTACATAGTAATTCATCGATGGCTTTCACTCTTCAATAACCTACGCCAACCTATGTCATGAAATACACTTGGCATGTTCTATAGTAGAACGCATGGTTATTATCAGACACGAGCACCTCGATGCGATGGATATTTTTTCCCAAAACCAAAATGCTTAGCCGTCAAAAGGCAATCGACCGAAATGGATACATAACCCACAGACATAAGACCAACCAAACGCCCACCGATCGAAAATACCCCTTATTCGCGTTGCGAAGCAAGCGGGTCACCCTAGCGGGCCCAATTCACCCGGGGGCTCGGGCCCTATCCACATGGGGGACCAAGCCCTATCCATACGGGGGCCCGGGCCACGTTCACCTGGGCTCCGGGCCCCGTCCACCCGGGGCTCCGGGGCCCGCCCACCAGGGGGCCCGGGCCCCATCCAGCCGGGGGTCCGGGCCCCGTCCACCCGGGGCCTGGGGTCCGTACTCCCGGGGGCCCGGACCCATCCATCGGGGGGCCCTGGCCCCATCCACCTAAGGGGCCCGGGCCCGTTCTCCCGGGGCCCGGGCCCCATCCACCCGGGGGCCTGTGCCCTATCCACCCAGGGGCCCGTGCCCTATCCATCCAGGGGGCCCGGGCCCGTTCTCCCGGGGCTCGGGCCCCATCCAACCGGGGGTCCGGCCCCGTCCACCCGGGGCTCAGGGCCCGTTCTCCCGGGGGCCCGGGCCCCATCCACCCGGGAGCCCGGGCCCCCTCCACCCAGGGGGCCCGGGCCCGTTCTCCCGGAGCCTCGGGCCCCATCCACCCGAGGGGCCCGGACCCGTTCTCGCGGGACCCGGGGGTCCGGGCCCCGTCCACCCGGGGCCCGTTCTCCCGGTGGCTCGGATCCATCCACCGGGGGGCCCGGCCCCATCCACCGGGGGGCCCGGGCCCTATCCACCCGGGGCCCGGACCCATCTACAGGGGGCCCGGGTCCCATCCACCCAGGGGGCCGGGCCCGTTCTCCTGGGGGCCCGGGCTCCATCCACCCGGGGCCCGGGCCCTGTCCACCTGGGGCCCCAGGCCGACCCCTCACCCGAGGTGTCGCAGTGGGCATTTCTCGAAGCGGGCTCGTCCGATTAGATTAGGACCTCTCTCTCTCTCTCTCTCTCCTCTCTCTCTCTCTCCTCTCTCTCTCTCTCTCTTCTCTCTCTCTCTCTCTCTCTCTCTCTCTCTCTCTCTCTCTCTCTCTCTCTCTCTCTCTCTCTCTCTCTCTCTCTCTCTCTCTCTCTCTCTCTCTCTCTCGAGCGGGCCCCTGACAAAAATTTCGGGGGGGTCAGCTGACCCTCTGACCCCCCCCTGGCTGCGCCACTGAGCATAATTCTGTTAGTTTAGCAGAATACCGCAAAGACATGCAAATACAAATACAGGTTTCCGGCTGGAAACCTTCCAACGTGCCTTATCTATATCGCCTCCGCGGCGTCTGAGACATGATTTCCATTAACCAGCCAGGGCCGGCCGCCAGCGGACTCCCGACCCTAATTGTTCCCAGTGGAGGGAGATAGCCGCCACATTAGAAGCGGAGCGTCTAGGCGCCCTCTCGATCAGGGCGGAAACGAAACGAGCCCGGCCGCCAGCTCCCGGTCAGGCCCCCCGGGTCATGTAACGCAGCCCGTGTGTTTCCTCATCGGCATTTTAGTTTATTTTTGGGTGCCGGGGGCTTACCAACGAGTCGCTGCTTTTCATTCTGCATGGATCCTATGGAGCAGGATGTCCTATTCAGCATGGAATACCTACGAAGGTAGTGATTAGCATCCGTGACTGGTATATGACTGAACGTGTGCCCTGCTGGAGTTTCCGCATGAGAGATTGGGATGGCAGGAAGGTAAAGATGATATGCATTGTATTTGTATATGCGTCACTTCTCAGTAGGGGATAGACGATGGATATGGTCGGTGATCTCGCTTACTCTAGCCAGCCAACTCGAAAGCGCAAGGAATATATTTTTTTGTGGCAGCTAAATTTATGACGCGATATTTGAACGGGTCGTCTGGCAAAGTTAAATAGGACTATAACCCAAGTCAAAGATTAAATAAATCTACCTCTGGCTGATTGTATAATGCACAGGCGTCATCAACAACTTATTTTCTGATTTGATTACCATCATTCCCTTTATTCACATCTACCCAGATGCTATATAATCAAACGAGGGATATTGTGAAGTGTGCGAAGCGTCATAGTTATTTTGTTTGTAAGACACCACAGGCAACCAAAAAGCCACAATCTATATATTCCTTTAAAAAAATCGCATAGCAATACAATTGCTAGGCTATCAGTCAGTTGCCTATAATCGGCACAATTAGAACCCGAAAACCTAAAGCATAATAGAGCGTGCGCTCGCTCCTAAATGCGTTAACTGATGGTTTAGTCCCTAGATGGCACTAGCAGTGGTCGCCTGAAGTTATACTGCACCGCAAGGCAGGTGAGAGACCGCGCGGCCAGGATGTCTCCCGTCGTAAGTTAGTAGTGCGTTGGACTGGCTGTGTAGGTACTACGCAGCAGGGCTGCGGAGTCGATGGATTTTCGGCGACTCCGACTCCGGCTTTCAAAAACCAGCTCCGACTCCGACTCCGACTCCGGGCAGAATTGTCGACTCCGACCGACTCCAACTCCCGACTCCGACTCCGCAGACCTAGCAGGGCTGCGGAGTCGACAGATTTTCGGTGACTCCGACTCCGACTCCGGCTCGGGTTTCTAAAATCGACTCCGACTCCGACTCCGACTCCGACTCCGACTCCGACTCCGCAGCCCTGCTACGCAGCATGTCTTATGTAACTTCTGTTGTCCCATGTCTTCCTTCAAATGCTTTGCTCTTGTCATCTTATTGGCCCCTGGATGTGACGATAAATCTTCGGCAATGTCACGGTGCATAACACACGTCTATTATGCCGCGTCGGAAGCCCCATTTGTTTCAGTCTTTCTTTCGGCGTCGCTACCAACAGAGGGCCTAACTGCTCAGGTAATGTGCGCCGCCCGGCCAGAGTAGGCCACCGGCTGCTTCTAGAGGACGGCAGTCGTGGTTGGGCGCGCTTCTGCGCTCCATCGGCAGCGAGCTCGTCCAGACCTTATAGCTCACATATTCCTCCGTGTGGTGCTGTGCTAACTTCCACCGCGAGTGCACACTTGGGAAGAGCAGCATCTGCCGTCTGGTCTCAGCCCGCGCTGCAGACAAGGTCTTCAAGATGCGTCTGCCGGTGTGGGCCGCCCTGACGGCGGTGCTGTGGCTCAGCCCTGACCCCGTCGTAGCCCCGGGAGAAGATGGGGAAAACAGCGAGACCATCACTACCACGACCACCACCAGCCCGATCACAGACAGTCCACAAATCGACACAATGCCGATCATCGGCTCCTCCGCCGAGGAGCCATCCCAGAACTCCACACAGACCCCGGCCGCCAACACCACTGACGTCACCGAGCCCCCCTCTCCGGCGCCGCTCAACACCTCCCCGGGCGCCGTGAACGCGGCCGCACAAACCCTCGTCACCGTCCCGTGGGCGCCCAGCGACTGGGCCGTATATCAGCTCACTGAGACACCCACGGCCTGCACGTGCCGCGCGCTGTGTCTGGTCGACCCGCACTGCCAGGCCGGCGAGGCGGCGCCGCTCCCATCGGGTGCCTTCTCCTGCTCCCTGGCCAGCCACATGATCAGCGACGGTCCGACTGCGGTGCCGCCCACAGGCACAGAGTGGTTCCAGAGAGGGGCGCCGCTCGCAGCCGAGGAGCTGGAGCCGGAGGTGGCCGCCGCGGCCGCCGCTGACGGGCTCGACTGCGCCGCTCTCCTGGCGGCCGGCGTGAGCGACAGTGGGGTGTACCAGATCGGCGCCACCACCCAGCGCTCCGCCTACTGCGACATGAGCCTGGGCGGCGGCGGCTGGACCTTGCTGCAGCGCTGGAAGAGCGGCACCACCGAGCGCTTCGACAGACCGATGGCCGACTACATGCTCGGCTTCGGAGACCCTGCTGGCTCGCACTGGCTGGGCCTGGAGGCACTGGGGGCCATGGCGGCACAGGGCCCGCTTCAACTGCGGGTGACCATAAAGAAGGATGGCATCGTATGGAGCCCTACTCAATACGCCCTGTACAATATTACGTCCATCAACCCGATTGACGACTACGAAATGATCCTAACGTGGGTGGAGGGCACTGCAACCGACGGCCTCCTTGAAACCAGCGGCAAGCCGTTCAAGGCCTGCAGATTGGACTGCAGCTACGGCGGATGGTGGGGGTTTGGAGACGGCAAGACCGGACAGCTGACAAACCTCAACCAGTCGCAGGATAAGGACACACTCGAGTGGATGACCTACTGGGTGGCAGAGGGCCAATTGCCATTAGCTCTCAAAGGCTCCACCATGAGTGTAAGGCCAGTTTGAGCTGCCTAGACGACATACGGCATACGTTAACGTTACGGTGGAACAGGCCCCAAGGAAAGCACGAAAAGGCCCTTTGCACCCCCCCCCCTCCCCATCCCCAACAGAATCGGGAACCTGCCAGACCTTAACGGGGCGCGGGTTGCTGTAGATTGTAGACAATGCCTTGGCTTTCTGTTTGTTAGTGACATTGAATGTATTTTATTCCAGAGACAATGGAGGATTTCCGCCCGTTCGCATCTAACGTTGATTTTAGTAAAACATTTGCGAGTGACACAATTTTTCATACCTCAATATGCTATTGAATTGCGAGGAATGTAATGTGTGCTTAAATCGCGCCATGCTGGGGGGGGAGGGGTGTTTTCACCCCCTCCCCCACTCAGGTTTTTCGCGAAAATCTAAAAAAAAAAAAAACGCTGCGCACAGCGTCGCCGTTTTTGTACACGTCTTCATACATCTTTTCCGCACATGTGAAAAGTTCAGACCCGGGTCGTTCAAGGTCAGGTCACCAGGTCACGTCAAGTGACCTTAACTCAGAAACAGTTCAAAGGCTCGCTATAGCTACACCGACTGAACAATCACCTTGAAACTTTCAGCGCATTATAAGAGCAACAGTATAATGTATAAAATGTAAGGCAAGGTGCCTGATTTGCGACCCCCTAAATTTGTACCGTAATTGCTCACGCTCTATGGTGCCACTGTATTACTGGTGTGAGTTTCGGAGAAATCGTTCATTTTTAACGAAATCTATTCATTTTCTGTCCCAATATTCGCTAATTTATTTTTAGTGAGCATTTTTGCAAACCATTGCAAAAAAGAACGCGTATAGGAAACTCGTCCCGATTAGCGACCGGAGAGGGTCACAAGTAAGTCTATGGATTTTCCCATAATAAAAATGGTAAAAAATGTGACGCCTGAAAAGATGAAATATGATCCCAAAAACATAACCTATACGCAAAGCACTCAATCGCTGGAACAGGAGCGTTTATCCAACACGTTTATGCAGGTGAAAGCTGATAACGTGAAGCACCAAAGGCAAAAAAAAAGGCGAAACCCAAATTTTGTGGGCTATCTCGTATGATATTCGAGCCCGCGCTGAATTCGACACTCTTGCAGTCGGTAACGACAGTTGACATCACCCGCCACACATCGCAAGCTTCAGCAACACCTCATTTTCATTTATCTCTTTTCTCCTTTCTTTCCCTTCTTGAGCTATTTGCAACCATGTCGGGCGCAAACAGGAAATATGAGTTGCGACACATTTTTTCCCATACCTGCTACATTACATGATTAAATCGAGACATCCAGGCATTTAAACGGCACGTGCACTGTACCACACTTTTCAAAGTTTAATGCAATGCTTTAATATTACAAGCCGTATGGTTCAAGGGGTGTGGTTAAACACGTTGAACCACACGGCTGCAGCTGACGTCACTATCATATAGTTGTGAGCTTTTTGGCAGGTATGGGAAACACCTTCCAGCCCTAAGGCCGGGAATTCAATAAATGTCACCTCGCTTTTTTAGCAAAATCACCTTGGGCCTAACGGCCCTCGGAGTTTTCGCTAAAAAAACCTCGGTGACATTTATTGAATCATCCCGGCCCCGGGTAGGAATATATTTAACCACCACGCAGTGCAAAGTTAAACGATTCACTACGGGAAACGGCAATCAGCTGAAAAAGGACTGTTGCTTCAGAATAAAAAAGGTGCATCATATTCTTGGTCATCTTGAACGAGTGCTTTTTGTGCAATATGTTTGTTTCTGGTTTATCTATTGACAATAAACGCTACACAGCAACACAATGACATCTCCGAGCGTGCACCGTTTTAGTGTAAACACTAGGCAAGAACTAAGAACAACGAACGAATGTCGGCCCGCTAGTACTTTTTCTGAGAGTCGCCTGTGAAGTGTGAACCCTCTCCTAGTAAAACACACCGGTATTCTCTATCTAGCAGCTCCGAATGCGACTTCTGTCTGAAGCATCATCCACTTAGCGCCACGGTGACACTCATGGAAAGACGCCTCGAGTCATTACGATTCGTAGACACAAACAATGTTTGGCTTCGTGTACGGTGTAAATGCATCCACAGTTTTGGAGGGCATTTGCTTTGGGACGTTAGTATCTCTGCTGGCTTTATGTCGTCAGCTACCTTCCCTGAGAACATGCAGCTTTGAAAACACATGATAACATTTGTCGTTTTATTGTGTTTTTGGGTTACTTTTGCAGTGTTAATCCTTTTTACAGTTGGCATTTTGTTGTTTTTCTCCTCTCCTTTTCCTTCTTCTTGTCATCGACCTATCACACGTCTAGGAATAATTCATCACGGACATTTCTGTCAGCCCGCAAATAGTGACAATGGGATGTGTATGGCGGGCATACAAACGCATCTAAAAGAACTTAACTAGGCTATGGATCACAGCAGGGTCTTTTGAACCAGCTCGACGCAACATGGCGCTATGGGCCAATATACACTCGGCTTAAAAGCGAGACGAAAGCAGCACGGCCGACTAATACGGAGCACCGTCGTGGGCGACGTCACCAAACAATACCGATCTTCAATCACTCTGTGAGCGCATCATTCCATGAGGCAGCCGCCTCTGAGCAGCCCACCAGCGGTGGCCATATGCCCCTGCCACCCTCCATCAACCAAATACACACTTTGTACTCGCGCATCCGCGCGCGATAAAACAAAACAGCGGAGCAAACATTTGGCCAGCGACTAAAACACGCGCAGCACGCACATGTCACGATAGAGTCCATAGCTGTACGGGACTCGACTGTGACCGACTCTTACAAACAGAGACAGACAGACAGACAGACGGACAGACGGACAGACGGCGGCAGGTGGATGGGCCTGGCCGCAGTTTGTACACGGTGGACAGAGACTCCACAGCTCGCTCTCCACTCTATCGCATTCACCATCGCACCGACAGCAGCTGGATGAGTCGGCGCCGGGCACCCACCCGGCCGGCCGACCGCCCCACGCGCTCAGCCGCCCACTCAGACTCATGTCCGCGCCTCGGGAAACTCGCACGGAAGCTCCGGCACCACAGCAGCTGGGGCCGAGTGAGTGAGCACCCCTGCCGCCTCAAAAATCGTCAAATTGCTGCAAATATACAGCAGAGTAACTGCAGATCACCGCCACGTCGTAGACAATACGCACGAAAAAAAAAACAGCCCTCACTCCGAACACCGGAGTCGAAGCGACAATGATCACCGAGGAGCTCGAATTACGGCGGCTCCCGCGCTGGCAGATGGTCACAGTTTCGGCCCGTTCAGCACCTCACATCGGTGGGCCGGGCGATTCTTCACACCGCCGCGGGTGTGCGATCGTCACAGGGAAACCGCTACGCTCCCGGCGGGTCCTTGGCCAGCGACGCTTCGAACAGCTCTCTGAACGAGCGCTCGAAGCATTGTTTCAGCTCGGAAAAGGTGGTGACGAGGACATTCTGCAGGTCACGCGACATCAGACACACCTGTCGATGAGGAGCATTACCGTCAGAGGAGGATGCCGCCAGCAGATATGGCTGACGGGAGGGACCGGGCGCCGCACATGGGGACGTCTAGGTGCATGGAAAGAACATTAATGTAGATTGCACAGGATGTGTTGACCGGGGTGATAAACAACTGGGAGCGTAGCAGTGGTATTGTGTAAATCACAAGTTTCTTTACGCATACAACATTGAGGGGAATCAGTCATGGATGGATAGAACGTGCCGTACTCACCCCATGATCTCAGGCCAAAACACTGGTACGAAAACATCAAACAATGTCAAAACAGTCATTGTTAGTCCCTGTAATACCTAAATGAGACGAGCACTCGGAATTTCGATGCTCATGTCGTGGGTCGGTACAGAACGCTCCGGCCAGTTCGTGAGTCGGTTATGCATGCTCCGGGCAATGGCCGGTATTTAACACATTTTCACTCCGCGACACATAAAGAAAGTAAAATAATAACATCGCGGTTCCGGAGCGACTTATTGGTATTGGTAGCGGTCTGTTACCATGCGTTTCTGCCGAGCCGATCAAATACGTCAGCACTTGATCTAGGAAAGGCCCGAGGGCGTGGGGACGACGGCATCAGTACTGTATCCACCAGTCTCCGTGATCCGGCGAGCACTCAGCAGACCGAGCTCTGCCGGTACTAAGCAATCCGGGTGCCGGAGGCCCATACCCACCGAAAGCTATTTCACAGATGGTCAGTGAGTCAGGGCTTGGACTCAGCCTTTGTCGCTAACCTCTTTCCGCAACAATAACATATAAAAACGTGCCGACATTGGTTCTTTACTACATAGCCGCCGCTGATTGCATATAGCTTATGCATGCCGTATCCCTGCTTCATCCTGATGATGGCCCAGTTGCCCACAAGTTGGCAACGGCAGACATCAAAGAGCCACCCAAGTGACTGATTGCAAGTAATAAGTACGCAGGCGTCATGTTCCAGCGCCTATGTACGATGAACAAAACTGTACCATAAATCACGTCATTGCCCCTAGTCAGTAATACAATGAAATCAGCACGACCTGTAAAAGAGCATGCAACACAACTATATAATGGCTGATCATATACCATTGGAAATGTACCGCTAGCAGGGTCAAACATCATTCTCCGCTAGTGACGAACAGCTCATAATTAAGCCTAATTTAGGGCGATATTCCCTCCTGTACACCCTGCAATCGTGCAATACCGAAACGGCTTACCGCCGGGCAAGACTACTGCAACACATCATTAACCCTCGCCCGCACATGCCATTTTCCCATCCTAGAACGCACATGGGGGGGGGGGTGTGGTTGCCACCCCCCCGCGCCATTTCGTTCCTGTTGGAGATAGAGCTTAGCAGTAAAGACCAAAAAGATTCTTTGGGAAGAGACGAATCCAATGATACCCAGTTTTACCTTCTCAGATCAGTCATTGACCTTCCAGGTCAGGTCAAACTAAAAAATGTTGCTGTTTTGGGTCACCGTTGGATATCAAGTGTGCTGCTTATCAAATACCGATGACGATGCTGTTTTCTGGTGCCAAGCCAGCTAGAACCTCTTTGTCACACTACCCGACCAGAATTTTGCTGCTGAGGTCATTTCAGGTCAAGTTAGGTCAAGGTCAATTATATGTGTTTGTATGTCTGTGTGTGTCTGTGTGTATACTGATGTGTGCACCGATTGTTTTTGGGTCCATATTACATGAAATCATGATCTGAGAAGCTTTTACCAAAAATGCAGTCAAAAAACTTCAAAAAAAGTAAATTCAGCTTGCCTAAAACGCAATTATCTTAGGTGACCTAGGTTGACCTTGACCCTGACCTTGACCCCTGTACATCGTCGAACAACATGTTCCATGATAGGTAGGAGCTAAGACTGGCAAAAAAGGCCGAAATCAGGGTGTCAAAAGCTCATAAGGCTCATGGCAAACGCAAGATGTTGAGAATTAGCCATTTGGGTCATGACATGACCTGAAAAACAAGGTCATATCTCCGAAACCAAAAATCACAGAAACTTGAAATTTTCAGTGGACATCAAGAAAGGATAGAGGAGCAGCTATACGAAAAATCAGCCTTCTAGCTCTAAAAATGTTGAGTGCAGAGCAGAAAGACTACCTGGGGGGGGGGGGGTGGCAACCACCCCCCCCCCATGTGCGGGCGAGGGTTAATAGTTTTTGCACTGATTAATAAGACTCTCTCTCTCTCTCTTGCAGGCTAGTTTTGGGCGCGTCAACGAAACAGTCTTTGACGTCAGCACCCCCAAACCAGAACGACGTAGTACCCTAGCTCAGGCACCTTGAGCCCGAGCCCGATGGCAGTGTATGGGACTCCCGTGTCTCTATTGAACGCTGTTCGTATTTCCCATCATGTCCGCTTGATTGTGCACTCTTATGCCCTTCACTGAGTCACCACCTCTCATAAGACCGCACGGAGTTGCCAGTTCTCATATTTTAACCTATTCCACCATAATCTCATCATAGTTTACTCATGCATCCATACCCAGCAATCAGACCCCAGCGACCTTTGTGCTCCCCCCACCCTACCCTTCGATCACCTCCCCACCTTCGGTCATCCTCCCAGTTACATACCTTGTCCGAGGAGCCGGCGTCCAGCTTGTTGAGGCACTGGACGACGTGCGCCATGTCCAGGAACGGTCGGCCCTCCTCTGTCACGGCGTGGAACACGTAGTCGCGGAATAACTTCAGCATGTAGCGGTCGCCCGTTTCGGCCCAGGCGCCGTCCAGGTTCAGCCTGCGGGCGGCGTAAGAACACGATTAGACAGGGTGAGGGGTGCCGCGACAATGCAGAGGGGGAGATGTCATAAAAGAAAGAAAATCAGTAGCTCGTTTCATGAAAACAATTCACAATAAACGAGATACGTTTGCAAAAGCTAACGGCTAGGCACAGACTATATTAAGTGTCAAAATGTTTGATCGGAGACAAAGTCACGCACAATGACTGAGCTACGGTTGTCACCGACCAATGCAGTTGTATCCCCATCACATTCCCAACCCAGGCTCCGTTCCGTGCCACACTCCTCCCATACGACCCGCCCCTCCCACTCACTCGGGTCTCTCTGTGATGGCCGAGAGTTTGGCGAGCAGTCGGAACAGTCGGCCGTTCTGCACCTCCCGGCCCAGCTCGTCCTCGAGCCGGTCACAGAGCCGGTGAGACGCGTCCAGCTGCTGGTAGAACCGCGCGCCCACCATCGGCATCACGTCGTTGATACTCCGCTGGCGGCCGCCGTTCGGAACTAGAAGACTGATGGGGGGGGGGGGGGGAGAGGGAGACAGTCAGAGGGGGAGGGGGAGGCCAGACAGGTCACCAGGAGACTGCTGGGGGTCGGGGAGAGAGGGCGTAGTCAGAAAGAGAGGAGGGATGAAAGCTAAAAAAGGTACAGGCGGAGACTGACAGATCGGCAGGGGGTTCAGAGCAGTTAGAGGGCGGTAGCAGCAGTGAGCAAGGATAGCTGAGTGGTGAACTAAAGAAGGACGGATGCGTCAGACAGGAAACGAGTCACTGGAAGGGCGAAAATTGGTGGCAGCCATGGTTTGATAGCGGATAAAGAAAATAACAAAGGTAAAAAGTAAGCGTCTTCTCCAATCTCCATCATTGCGACCTAAGCTCGGCCAGCCAAAAAAAAAAAAAAAACATCTAGCTAAGCAGCCGCTCGGCTGAGAGGGTGCCGCTGTCGACTCACTTCATGATGACGGCCTTCAGGTCGGCCGAGTAGTGCCGCTCCACGATGCTGATGCTCGTGTTGAAGTTGTCCGGTTGCACGGCCAGCACCGAGTTACACGAGAGCGCCAGCAGCAGCTTGCCCAGGCCGACCAGGTCCTCCTGCTGCGGGTGGGAGGGGCGCAGTCAGCGGTGACGCTCCTAGGCAGGGGGATATTTTGTCAAATCTTGTTTGTTGTTGTTTGTTGGGGGGTTAGGGACGCGCCGCACATAGACTCCTGTGCGTCGTATGCGCAGAGATATACAAAGCCATATGGTCTAACAATGTATCGGGATTCGGGTATGTTATCACGTCATATAGTGTCACACTAACACACACAGAGACTTCATGGACACACCAGTCCATTCCAGTTCTCGTATACCACGCTCCACGCCTCTTCACAAACTCAGATCGGTCCAGATTCCCCATTCCCAAAGCCCCAATCAGCGTGGCACCACCGTCCGGTGTCGGATCGCCAGCGACCCGCGCAGACACACCCACCTGATAGTGCTGCACCATCATCATCGAGTTGGTGTTGCCGCTGTCGGCAAGCAGCACGTCCAGCACGCCGCACGCGTTCACGTGAAGACGGTCCTGACCTGTGGGACGCGCGGGAGAACGGGGAGCGGTCAGGACAGGCAGTGGTGGCGATCCCAACTAGTTCGCGGGCTGGCTAGAACGCTCACGTTGGACAGCCCTCAACAACGGAGAGCCCACCCGCGCCGGCTACGGGACCGGGCCGCTGACTGCCCCAGACGTTGCGCTCTGCCACCAGAATCTGGCGCTGCGGAGCTCCTGGTCCATCGGCTCAGATCTCGGCAGTGATCACCTCCCCCACCTGTGGTCCAGACCACGACGAGCGGCGCCCGCCCACGCCGCATCAAAAAGACCAGGTGGTCCTGGCAGAAGGCGGACTGGACACAGTTTACCAGCGGCTGCGAGGCGGCCTTCTCTGCCCTGCCTCCTGATCTACCGACAATCACCCTCGCCGAGAGAGTGGCAACCATCATCATGTCAGAGAGCACGCGGGCCATCCCCCGCGGCGCTCGCGCCGACCCGAAGCCCTGGGCCTGCGATCCTGAACTGATCGATGCGATCTCGGCAAGGCGAGCGGCACGGGCAGAGATGACTTCTAATCTCTGTCCTGCAACAAGAGAGAGGTGGAAAGCTGCGAAGAAGGCGGCCGCCGCAGCAGAGGAGTCGGCCGGAACCAGGACCTTCAGAGACTTTGTCTCCACGGAGCTGAACCGGCCCTCGAGCATCGGGCGCGTCTCCAAGATTCTCCGGAGGATGGAGGGCGCCGTACCCGAGTCCCGACCGGGACAGGCTATCAGCGGGGACTGTGGCAAACTTGCCATAGAGGACCGCGCGAAAGCCAACGCCTTCGTCAGGACCTATGCAGCGGTCAGCAAGCAGGTCCGCTGTCCGAAACGAGACCGGCCCGTGAAGAAGGAACTGGTATCCCTGAGGGACAACGGCTGCACATGCCTCGACACTAAGGAAGAGGCGTGCGCCCCCTTCAGCATGAAGGAGATGGAAGCCCAGATCCGGGTGCTGAAGTCCAGGAAAGCGCCCGGCCAGCACCTGCGGCATCTCGGCCCCACAGCCAAGTCCGTACTGCTGCGCCTGATAAACCAGACCTGGGCAGACGCCACCATACCAAGCGCGTGGCGGAGGGCCACCATCATCCCGATTCTGAAGACCGGCAAGAACCCACAGTCCGTGACGTCATACCGCCCGATAGCCCTCACCAGCCACGTGGCAAAACTGGCAGAACGGATGGTCGGCGCTCGACTCAGCCAGATCGCCGAAGCGAGGAACCTGATTCCTGCCGAACAGGTGGGCTACTGGCGCGGAAAATCGGTGGAGGAGAACCTCGGCCGCCTTGTGCAGACCGTACAGGACGGCTGGAACCGACCCCGCCCCGCCGGTCGCCCTACCGAGGGGAAGACGGCGGAGAAGTTCGCGCTGGTAGCGTATGACTTCAGTAGAGCCTATGACAAGATCGACCACCGCATGCTACAACTTAAACTGCTTCGTCTCCAGCTCCCACTATGCATGGTAAACTGGATCTTCCAGTTCCTCCGTGACCGACGCGCCAGGGTGGAAGTGAACGGCTGCCTCAGCGAGGAACGCCCCTTCAGAGCGGGCCTCCCTCAGGGTTCGGTCTTGGCACCGACCCTGTACACCCTGTGGTCGGCCGACCTGGTGAGCGACCTGAGGAGCGTCCCGGGTACCAGCGTATTCATGTACGCCGACGATACCGCCACACTGAGCGGTAGCTGCCGGATGGAGACGGCAAGAGAACGAGCCCAGATCGCAGCTGACACGATGGTCAGGTGGGCCAACAGGTGGAAGATGGTGATCGCCGGGGAGAAGACCCAGGCCCTGGTCCTCTCCCAGTGGTCCCATGACGCCAAGGACTTCCAGATCAAGGTGGCCGGAACATCGGTCAAAGGATCCCCGCACCTGAGACTCCTAGGAGTCACCTTCGACAGACTCCTCCACTTCGGGGAACACTGCAAGAACCTGCGCCGGAAAGTGAAGCCCAGGACGGCTCAGCTGAGGAAGCTGACCGGTCGCAGCTGGGGCCTCCAGGAGGCGCAACTACGGACCGTTGCCAACGGATACGTTCGGGGCGCCCTGGAGTACGCGGCAGCAGCGTGGCTCCCGGCGGCGTCTGAAGCTCACGTCGAGCTGATCGAGCGGGAGCTGCGAGCGGCGGCCCGTGCGGTCACTGGATGCACGGCCTCGACCCCGACCGCGCCGCTGATGGCCGAGGCCGGCATCCCGCCGGCGCGAGTACGATGCCCGGCGCTGGCCGCCCGCATGGTGGGCCTGGCCGCCTCGCTGCCCGGCGACGACCCGCTCCACGCCGTCGGCGAGATGCACGTCGCGCCCCGCCTGAGGACGACCACCGGATGGCGTGACGTCGGCCACCGCGCCCTGGCTTGGACAGGCGCGGCCGACGTCAAAGTGGAAGGACGCCCTACAAAGACTATCCCACCGTGGGACCACCATGGAGAAGCCGTGACGTTCTGCCTGGAAGTCGGCCCCGGCGGCCAGAGAGCGGCCCCTGCGCACATACGGAGGGGAGCGGCAGAGGCCACATTGGAACAACTGCCGCCCCGCGCCACCTGGATATGGTCGGACGGCTCGGCGGAGGGAGGCGTCTCCCAAGGCGGGGGCGGTGCCACCATCACCTTCCCGTCGGGAGAGACTCGGGAGGTCCGAGTCCCAGCGGGCCAGCTCTGCTCCAGTACGCGGGCAGAGCTGTGTGCCCTGAAGGCGGCCCTGAACGCCATCCGAGACGCCGACGCCGACATCGCAGACGACCCAATAGTCATCTGCACCGACTGCCAGGCCGCCCTGAGGATGCTGGAGAGCGGCGCCTCCTCCCAGACGACTCACCTAGGGATCTCCATCTGGGAGGACCTACTCGCTCTCTCCAGCCGAGGGTCACCGATCCGCCTCCAGTGGGTCCCGGCGCACTGCGGCCTGCGGGAAAATGAGAGGGCCGATGAGCTGGCCAAGGAAGCCTCCGGCCTACCTCAGGAGGCAGCAGCAACAGACGTGAGGACGCTAACGAAGGCCGTCGCACGCTGCGCCTCCCACCGCTGGCGGCAGGAATGGCCGTCCAGCTTCTTCAAGGACATCATGCGGGACCGTATGCCGGCTCCGCTCAAAAACCTCGACCGAGATGCCGCCGTCAACGTCCACCAGCTGCGGGCCGGGCACTGGGGTCGCTCGGAGCAGTATCTGCACCGTATCGGGCGGCGCCCCATCCCGACCTGCCAGCAGGGCAACCTCAAGGCGTGCCCCGCAGCCCGCTGCATCGTGTGCAGAGAGGGCGCCGACACCCCGGAGCATGTGTTGCTCAGGTGCCCGTGCCTGGCCGGCGCCCGCCTGCGACTGACGGGCAACATCCACATCCGACCAGAGCAGCTGAAGGACGGCGAGCTGGTGGCGGCCTTGGCCGCCGGCTACCTCCGCCACAAGGAGCCCCTCACGGGGTTACAGGCCGGCCCCAGCCGGCCCTGAGGGGAACACCAACAACAACAACAATCCCAACTAGTCATGGCATATACAACAGTCTTGAGTTCCCATTGTGGAAGAGCATAAGCGAGAAACTCCATTCTTCGGCTACGAGCCTGTCCACGGAAAGTGGCCCTGAAATTGATTTGTTACCCCAGTTGGCAATTATTATTGGTATCATCTACACGATTGTTTTCATTCCTCAGATGACATGAGCCAGTCCTTTAGTGATGCAGCCCTTCCCAGCCAGCCCTCGGCCTGCCTCCGAGCTAAGCCAGTATTCTCACTCCGCTCTGAACCCCGGACCCACCTGTCACCAGTATTTTGGTGGGATCCAGCACACGGCACGCCAGTCCGGCCGCGTGGATCTGACGCAGGACCCCCGATAGCTGGATGATGTACCCCCAGATCAGCGCCTCGGGCATCAGTGCTGTCAGAGATCACGGGGGCCGGGTTAAAGGGACCCTCCCACCTTCAAAAAAGTTAATGAATGGGCATGAAAGTGATGTCGCTCGGTTCAGAAAGAGCAAAAACGAATATCTACCAAATTTCATCGAAAAATATTCACCGGTTTTCAAGATATTAGACTTTTACTTTTGTTTACTTTTTGGGATCTCCGCTGTAATTCCTAGCGACTTTATTTGAAAGTGCGGCATTTGTTGCGCGCAAAGCAGCATATACCACCGCGTGCTACAAAACGTTTTAGTCAAACATTTAACGGACGTTCGAAAGCCTGATGACGTCATCAGATTCCCGTAATGGTTAAGAGATAGGGACCACGCTGGTCCCACCGTGCAAGTAAAGGGAAGAAATTTCTTGAACACCATAAAGCTGCGGGGGTTGCGAACAGGATAAATGGTGGTTTCTGAGCCTGGCCGCAAACTTGGCTATCTCAACTCAAAACTAATGTTAAGGTGGGAGGGTCCCTTTAACGGTACAGTGTTGGATGTGTTTGCAGGAACATATCAGCTAAAAAGATAAGCTACGAGTATGATGAGGTGACGACATTTAATTGTTAACACATCACAAAAGGCAAAGAGCAACATATTTCCAGCTGGATAAGAAGAAACAATAATTGCAAGGTGCCAGAAATTCCGAAACTCGAATAACCCAAAAGCCCCGAATCCCTTTCTTCGTATTACGTTCTAATTTGGAATCATCCCAGGAGCCCAAGTAAGCCGTAATCGCCACGCCATATGTGGAAGGCTTTTGGTGTCAATACATACATATACATACATACATACAAGGAAGGAATGCGACCTAACCGTTTTTCTGTCTGAGCACGGCGTTCTTCTGGGCGCTGTAGGGCCGCGGTATGCTCGGGTCCTGGAACGGGTCGGCGAACCCGTTCAGCTGCGGCGGCTGGCTAAAGTGGCGCGCCATCAGCGTCTCGGCGCCCGGGTAGTAGTCGTACACCATCACCACCGCTGCGGGGGAGACAAGGGGGGGGGGGTCACCAACGGCACCATCAGCGTCTCGGCGCCCGGGTAGTAGTCGTACACCATCACCACCGCTGCGGGAGACGGGGTATGTCACCATCCATTGTCACCACCGCTGGGGAGAGAGGAGTGACGGGGGAAGACAGGGGCAGAGGACGACATGTCATCCAAGAAACCGTGACTGCACGTCATGAACAAACGGCTGAAACGGAACGTTACCAACAACGTTGTCCGGATTCCACTTAACAGCACAAACTGCCTGCTCTGGCGCTCCCCGTACCTCACACATCACCGTCCCGCGACCGTTGCGCCCTCTCTCTTCCCAAATCAACTCTCCTCACACCAGCGACCCCACCGGCGGCACACACCAGTGACACGACCATCACCACTCGTCCGAGGCATCTCACTCACAGTTGTCACCGAACGCCTTGGTGGTGAAGAACTCCCTCAGCGCCACCAGACTGGTGTGGCTGAGTTTGCGCCACTGGGCCACCGTCTGGAGACTGTTGGTGTTGGCCAGCCGCATACCTGACAGAGAGGGGGGAGCGGGGAGAGTGGGGAGGTTATAGGGGATCGATGAATTACTGGGGAGGGGGTAGATTCGGACGATTGGCCCCGCCTTTTATCAGGGAAAAAGGTCACGTTAATGGCTATTCAATCAAAGCTCCCAAGTGTAAAGATTAGAATTTGAAGGAGAAAGATCTACTCAATATAGGGTAGGTTAAAGAGAGCCCTGATTTAGATACGAACTATTGTATAATGAAGCACCGATGCAAGGCCGCAGACCATGCATAAGTCATGAGAGGCTCACTCTAAGCTCTCAGTTCCGCGTACATGAACATTCAATATTCAATTTGAATATTTACACCACGAACGAACTACGAAAATACATTCGCCAACCTAGCAGCTGCAGCCAGCATTCACAACACAACAGTGTTATTCGCTCCCCACTAACTGAGAACTCCCTCCCTACTAACCGTGTGTCGACAGTCCACACCAAACAAGTATCCATTCACCACAATCCAAAAATCCAATTTGCACTAACCGTGTATCCGCCGGAGGCAGCAGCACTGTCCCGTCTTGACGTTGGTCGCCTTGTAGACAGAGGTGACGCAGTTGAAGAGGGCCGACTTTTGCAGCGGTCCGGGAGGCTCCAGAGGACACAGCTCGTGGTAGCTGTCCACCTCGGTCGGCAGCTCTGTGGGCAGAGGACACGGTGTTCGTAGAGGAAACACACACAGGTTATATGACTTTGTTACTTGACCTGCTGTAAAGTTAACAATCGAGACACAGATACGAGCCTGCAGCTGAGTCCATTACAGACCCCGATGAGCGTTCATAATTCAGATAATAGCCGCTGAGCTCGTTACAGGGCATACCATGTTCCACAATACACATGAGCATGCCCGCCTTAGATACCCAAGGAGAGTGTCGAGCGAGATGGAATAGACACAGCAGCTGACAAAATCTCACCCCTTCTCGGCCCGTTTCGGACCGATTACCGGTCACCACACTATCATCGATTGCACTCACCGGGGTAGGCCTGCGGGTTCGGGTGCACCAGCATCAGACTCTGCTGTTTCAGAATCTGCTCCCGCAGCTCGTCGCTGGCGAAGAAGCCGGCCGGCGCTCTGGCGGCGCCCAGCAGGCTGGCGGAGCCGGCGCCGCGGCCGGGCGCAACCTGAGGCGGCGGCGTCACATAGGCGGTGAACGGCGCCGGCACGGTCGGCGGCTCGGCAGATTTCTGCGCCGCCGCCTCCTCGGCAGTGAAGTAGTAGGTCGTGCCGCCCACGTGCTCCTGAGAGTAGCAGGGGTTAGGGAACATGGGGGTAAACACGGGGGAGGAATATCGAACACGGTCGTGAACGCGGAAGGTTATATAAGTGGCTCCTCATCAGATTACTCGTCAACACCTACGCAGTTATACCTACGCTTGCATCTCGACATTGAGACATTGAAACTAAGAACCTCCCAACCATGACACAAAAGCACAATAAGGATACCATTGTCACCAAATAGGCCAACTTGAGCAAGCGTTCATGGTTGGTTCGTAGTGGGGATCTAACTCCATCGGTTACCAGCCCTGGTGACTTCCTGCCAGATGTCCTTCATCCCCCTCACCTGGAAGAGTGAGCTCGCCTCCGCGCCGTCGTCGCCCGTCTTGACAGCGTCCGGTGGCGAACCGTTCAGCAGGTCGCGGCGGACGCCGAACGCGGCACGCGCCGGGTTGAACGAGGCAAACGACGGCGTGGAGGCGGAGTGCGGCAGGCTGGGCGCTGGGCCAGAGGCGCGCGACAGCGCCGGCTCCAGGTTCAGACTGGCCAGGTCGCCGCTCGGGTCGGCCGTCTCGGCGCCGCGCCGGTTCTGCGGGGACGCCCAGGGCAGGGAGAGGGTTACCAGACAGCAGTGCCCAGAAGGCATAAACACATGAAACATCATTTTATGAACACAGTCAATAATATGCATAGTACTGCTTCATCCCAGCCAGTAAAATAAATTGCTTATTTTGAAATGTCAGTATCTAGACTAGTGTGTTTTTGTGCTTCTACAAAGGTTGCTGATCTTTACCACCAAAGCTGGACACTGCAGAGTTTGACTGTTCTGTAATGTGTTATTATCTGCTACCTACCTAATGAATGCAAGTCATCCTGGCTAGGACCAATTAGCTCCCAATGAAAAGGATGGAGCTGGGCTGCTATATCTGGTCAGATCAGTTATCTAACGCATCACATTAAAATGGCATGCAAACAGTAAGAAGTCTAACAAAGTAAGTAAGCACAGTACACACTCACTGTAAGATAAGTAGACAGCCTGGAGCCAGCGGGAAGGCCCGAGCTTGACATTGGAACAAACACTGGATCCATGATCTGTCTGGAAAACTGAGGGTAAAAGAATAACAATGCATCTATCAGTCAATGAAAGTTTACATCAAAACAGAAATAAAGATGGAACTTTGAACTTTAAGTAACATGTGCAGGATTTTATATAGCACATAAGGCATGCCAGTTAGATCAAAATTTTGATCATAACATTTTCATGAGAGCCTATTTGAATTTCAATTTCAATTAAAGGTCAGCTACCTATGAGCTAACACTGAAAATCATCAATAGAGAGCATTAAGTTATTCTATTTCATAATGAGTATCAGTATTAACAAAGAAAAAGTACAAGCACACTAAAAATACTTAATGTATGACAAAAGGGAAAGCAATAAACGATCATGCCATTGTTGCGTATTAGTCATCAACTTTCAACCTACGATGATCACAGGATTTATAAGTAAAAATCACAGGGACCACTTCAACTTGTATTCCGGCAGCAATTATCTTAAAGTATTGTTAGTGACAAATTTCACTTATTTTAATTCAAAGCAAGCATTTTCATTTTGATTTCAGAACAAGAGCAGTGGGAGCAGTTTGAGTTGCATAAAATAACACTGAAATCTAATACAGTCAAGCTTCCGTTATAGCTATCAGCATAAGAATAGACAAATCAAAATATAAAAGGATCACCCACCAATATTATAACTATACCAAATAGTAATAGCGATTTTCACGCAATTTTTCTATGATCGTCACTCAACAACTTCAAATTGGCTTTTGTACACAACCGTTGCGCACTTCGACAATCAATCCAATGTAAATTAAAGGTGAGTAATTTCACGTATTGCTAATTATGACGTCATGAGACCGGCGAATCAGAGACAGTTCCTCAGTCCACCGAAAGCCGTATGCAAAGTAATTTGAGTGTCTATCTATACTTCTGTAGATTGTTGACAGAATAACCCAATAATAACCTATCCGTAAGAATCTTGCAATAACCTAGATGGCATTCTTCCAATAGGTTTAGCTTAACCCTCGCCCTGGCAGGGCATTTTTCATAACACGGCCTGGCAGGGGGGGGTCGATGCGACCCCCCCCCCTCGCGATTGGCTCCTATGGCACCTAGAAACACCAAATTTGGTAGGTAGGTGGGCCCCCCGGAGTTCTCGCCCCTGTGCAAATTTGGTTGCTCTAGGTCAATATTTAGGGGGGTTTTGGGGGGTATAAATGTAAAAATTTCGCTAAAAACAGGTCAAAAGTTTTTCGCTTATAACTTTTGATCTAAGTAAGATAGAGCAAAAAGAAAAGCACCAGTGAACTCAGCACGTCAAGGCGCGTCGAATGATATACTTTTTAGCTTGCTTAGGTGTACTTAAAGTTTTTCTTAAATTTTGAGTAAACTTAACTTAATAAATTAAGTTTAAGTTACCCAAATTGCATCATATCGCATATCATTTGATTCGGCTGATCACCAGGAACACAATGATACAATTTTTTAAGCTCTAGCATCATTATGTGCCAAGTTATTGGCAAAAACGTCATTTGACCTCAGTTGACCTCATTTGACCTGACCCATGGATAAGTACACCAAACAAAGAAGCACCAAGTGACCTGCTGTTAAGTACCGTGGTTTCAAAGCACAAAAAAAGATCAAACGAAGCGGATATCTCCAGTATTTTCCGAATTTAGTATTTTCCCATAGGCTTAACATTACGACGTAATGACCTCTAACTGACCTCAGGTCAGTGACCTCAAAAAAACCGGACTATATGTTATACAACTCGGTGAACTTAGCACTTCCTGAAAGTTTGAAGGAAATCAGTCGAAAACTGTGAGTTGGACAGGTGCAAAAAGAAAATTGAAATTTGACCATGACCTTGTACCGGTTTTTCTGACCTGGTGACCTGACCCAAGGTCACCCTGACCTGAAATTTTCAGGTCATATGTAAAAAGGTTGCCCCATAGGCTGTGCCAAATTTGGCGGCGCTGCGCGCCGCCGTTTTTACGTTATCTTCGAAAAACCTTAGGGGGGGGGGGGTCGCATCGACCCCCCCCCCCTGCCAGGGCGAGGGTTAACCCGCGCGGGGCTGGGGTCTCCAGCCGAACGCGCGGGGCTGAAGGGGGGGGGGGTAAATTTTACTCCCCCTGTTATCTCCCGAACTAATGGTCCGATTTGGAAAAATCAAATGCCAATCGAAAGATCTCATCACGAACAACTAAAAACGTGTACTTAATTTAAAGTTTGAGGTCAAGGTCAAGGTCAGGTCAAGGGTACAAACTGCAAGTTTCTACAGTATCGGCCTTGCACTGTAGTTGCCGAAGAATGGAGTCATCGACTGAGACTGATTGCCCAAAACGTGTTCTTAGGCTAGCAAAACAATATTCGTTGCATACAATATCATTCAGAGGTCAAGGTCAAGGTCAGGTCAGGTCAGGTCAGGTCACCAAAAAACAAAATATAGACAAGGGCATGTGCGACACATGTTTTATGGGTCATTTTACTCATAGAATTCAATAGGCACACTCAATAAGTGATATAGACCACCTCTGGATGAATTTCAGGTCGAGGTCAGGTCAAGGTCAGGTCAAGTGAGGTCAAATTTTGAAGTTGGTTGTTAAGGCCTAAAAAGGTGTCTATCTGATGCAGTTTTTCACGGCGAATCGAATGGTGCTATTTTTGTTTCCGTACGAGGTCTAGAACTTCCAAAAAATTCATTTTTCAAAAATTTTGTCAAAAATTTTGGGCCAAAATCCAAAATTTTCAAAAACCGAGATAGCCATTTGATAGACAAAGTAGAATTACGTATCACCTTTTTTTGTTACGTCTTGATTCCTTTAAAAATGAAGATGTTAGCGGCGTTTGCAATTTTGCCGTTTTTGAGGCGAAAATGGGGCGAACATGACGTCACTAAAACGTCAATTTCTCAAAAAAATTTCTGACGGATTTCGCTCAAATTTTCAGGGAACGTGTCAAATTGATGTAAGAAAAGGTACTGAAAGTTTGGCGGCGCTGCGCGCCGCCGTTTTTGAGATATTGCAAAAATTCGCGAGGGGGGTAAAATTTACCCCCCAGCCCCGCGCGGGTTAGCCCGCGCCCCGCTGGGGTCTGCGTATAACACGCCCTACTGGGGGGGGGGGCTATTCATAGCCCCCCTCCTAACTCCGAAACTACTGGGCCGATCGTCAAAATTCAAACGGCGTCTGATAGCCCCGGAAAAACTGTCGAGCGAAACCTAATTTCATTGACCTCGAGGTCACCGATGACGTCACAGGTCAGGTCAAAGTAAAAATTATTAGCATTTTGGCTTGTTCACGTTTTGGGCTCTGGCCGCCGTCTTACAAGTCAGATCAGGCTCATTTTTGGATCACACACTCGGGAACAGATGCTCTGGTTACCCTGAGGGTACCAAACTTGTACTTTGATTTTCAGGTCAAGGTCAGGTCATCACAGGTCACGAAAATATTATATCATGCGTCGGTCACGTGACACATGTTTTATGGTCCATTTAGGTCAGAGATTTCGAATTTGATGTCGTCTGTGTCATTCGAGGTCATTTTGAGTCGAATTTTTCTTAGGTCAGGTCACTTTCAGGTCAAAAAAGGTCAAATTTTGAAGTTAAAATTTTTCAACAAAAAAGGTGTCTATTAGATGCAGTTTGAGCTCAGGAACACGATGGTGCTATTTATGTTGGCGTACGATGTCAAATACGTGCTGAAAAATTGATTTGAAAAATTAATAATTATGAATTTTTTGCAATAATGCGTAAAACTTAGCTATCTTTGCAGATATTTAGCTAAAACTTGCTAGAGTTAGTCATAATAATGCGTTCTATCACATATATTCCGGTTTTTCGAAAAGTTAAAAACTTTTTGAAAAAAATGTAAAAATATAAATTTTGGATATTATAATATATAATTTTCGAAATTTTCAAAATTTCGAAAATCCGAGATAGCAGTTTGATAGCGCAGTCTATTCTGAGTCATCTCATGCAAAGAAATTGGATCTAGCTTAAAAACTGAGCTCTTGGGAGCGATTGCCCTGGTTCAATGTTTTGCGTCGAAATCGGCCGAATATGACGTCACTCTAACGTCATTTCCGGCCGACCTATAGTAGTTACGAAGTTCAAATTTTGACACAAGGTGTCAAATTGATGCAGCCTAAGGTACTGGAAGTGTGGCGTCGATACGTCAAGCGGTTTGGAAGTTATTGCAGAAAAACGGGAGGGGGGGGGCTATAAATAGCCCCCCCCCCCAGTGGGGCGCGGGTTAAATGTTTGAACGGACGAGTTTACGGAGCCGGAGTCCACCCGTGAGCACTCCTGTGGGGAAACCACAAATGGACGCAAACATGCCCGTTGCTCAAAGAAGACAATACAAATAAGAATGACTGATTCCGAAAAAAATGCTCACAATACATTGATCGTGCTTCAATTCAACAATATTTGCATAATGCATATCATTTTAACCCTCGCATGTGTGCGGCGTTTGCCAGCTTCTAATGTGTAGGGGGGGGGGGGTCGGTTGGACCCCCCCTTGCCGTTTGGCCCCTGATCGAGCTAGAGCTTCGCGGAAAAAACGAGCGTGTTGCCCGTGACGAGAGGAAGCCGATGATACCCAATTTTAAGGTCCTAGGTCATTGACCCAAAGTCGGGAAAATCGGGACCTGTTAGAAAGTCGTAAAGTGTGGCTGCTAAGGGGTTTTTCGGGGTGCTGATCACGAATATCGTGTTAGTTTTGATCACAGATGATGTCTTGAAGCATTTAGACCAGGTCGGGTCAGGTCAGGTCAGGTCAACCAGTAGGCGTCGTGACGGGTATTCGTAGTACGTGTCAACCGCCTCTGACAGCTTCGTAACATGTTACGAAGTCACCAAAACTACTTCGTAAATGTTCAAATGGTTGCTAAATTCGAATTCAGCTCCAAAAACTAGCCTAGAAACATGTAAAACTCGAAAAAGTGACCCGAGGTCACCCGAGGTCACCAAAGGTCAATGACCTGACCTGACCTTGAGGTGACCTTGACACACACGGGAGTAACATCAAATCACATGTTTGAACGTTTGAAACCACGAAAAGCTTGCAAACACGCGGCTAGTGCGAGCCGACATACGCGAAATCGCGATTCCGGCCAAACATGGTCTCGGAAAAGAGATCACAGGTCAAAGGTCATTTGGGTCAGGGTCATGAAATTTTCAGGGTAGGTGTAAAATTGATCAATGCGAGGGTACTGAAAGTTTCGTCGCGATCGGCCGCTTTTTACGCGAGTTATTCGCGAAAAACCATGGGGGGGGGGGGTCCATCCGACCCCCCCCTACACATGCGAGGGTTAATTTGTATGATATTCAGCCCAGGGTGTCGATACCTAGGGAGGTAGGTATATTTTTTACGAAGTTTCTTTCTATTAGGCATCCTAGGTACCTACCTACCTACCTACCTACATCGTTTCAGACGTTCATTGGCGGATCCAGGAAGGCAGCTTGAAAACTTTCCCTGACACGGGGGCTGGGGCATACTTTCCTACTCATAAAAAACTTTTATTTACAAACACTTTCAGATTCACTTCCTTTTAGACCGTATGCTAGGTATATGTCCGCCGTTCGCCTCAAGATACCTTAAGAGGCATGCGTTTGTTGAGGCATGGGACCAACAAAAGTTTACCCTGTGAGAAAGGATTTTTTTAAGGAGGGGAGACATACCTATATTTTACCGCGAGACTGCTACCTCATGGTAGGTAGATGGTTATCGCGGCCGCGGCGACGTGTCGCACATAATTGCATATCGCGCCGTCTGATTGGTGAACA